GCTCACAGTTATACTCTTATATACTCAGTTATACTCTTCTATGCTCACAGTTATACTCATATACTCAGCGTTATACTCTTCCATGCTCACAGTTATACTCATATACTCTGCATTATACTCTTCCATACTCAGTTATACTCTTATACACTCAGCGTTATACTCTTCCATGCTCAGTTATACTCTTATATATTCAGCGTTATACTCTTCCATGCTCACAGTTATACTCTTTTATGCTCAAAGTTATACTCTTCCATGCTCAGTTATACTCTTATATACTCAGCGTTATACTCTTCCATGCTCACAGTTATATTCTTCCATGCTCAGTTATACACTTATATACTAGGGGTGTAAATCACCAACTTTACCATGACATTATATTGATTTGTTTGTATGATGATACGATTTTTCTCTATCACAAAATCTGTCACGGCAGCACGGTGGCGCAACTGGTAGAGCTGCTGCCTCTCAGCGAGCAGGTCCCTGTTTCAAATCCCGGTCCAGGGGCCTTTCCGGGTGGAGTTTGCATGTTCTCTCCGTGCACGCGTGGGTTTTCTCCGGGTACTCTGGTTTCCTCCCACAGACCAAAAACATGCATGTTAGTCTGATTGGTAATTCTAAATTGTCCCTAGGTGTGAGTGAGAGAGTGAATGGTTGTTTGTCTCGTTTGTCTCTATGTGTCCCTGTGATGGACTTGAGACCCGTCCAGGGTGTACCCCGCCCCTCGCACAGTGATTGCTGGACATGGGCACCGGCGACCCCCGTGACCCAAAATGGAATAAACGGGTAAAAAAAATGGATGGATGGATGGAAAATCTGTCACGATATGATTTCGATTTGATTCGATTCACAAGTCTGCGATCGATATATTGCAATATCAAATGCCAATCTCATTTACATATAAATAAATTTACAAAAACAATTCAAATATGATTTAACCATTTTATTTCTGTTATTACAGGCACCAGATATTTAAATTAAAAAACATTTTTTCTTAATAAATGAAAAAATAAAAATAAATGACCTGTTCAGTATAGTCTCACATTTCTCAGAAACAAAAACAGATATAAAGCTTACATAAAATGGCTATCAATGCTGTGTTTCTTCTTCAGGTGAACGGCCAAATTAGTTGTTTCCTGAGTATTTTAACTCACACTGGCACCTGTTGCATACGACATGAGTTTTGTCTGTTGAGCCGTCCTTCTGTTGGAATCTGAAATATTTCCACAGTGTTGATTTAAATCCAGCAGGAGAGTGAATTTCATTATTTGTGTTTTCTGCCTCGTCTGCCATGTTGCTGAGGCGGCCGCAGAGCGCAGCCACACACGGAAATGATGACACAGACGTGCCTTGGGAATTTCAAAATAAAAGCGTATTTTAAAGATGACAATATGAATCAATATTTTAGTTTTGCCACAATATCATTAATCATTTAATCCAGGGGTGTCAAACGCCAGGCCTTGAGGGCCGGAGTCTTGCAACTTTTAGATGTGTCTCTGATGCCACATAGCTGAATCAAGTCTGGAGGTCATTAGCAGGACTTTGGAGAACTTGACTGCACTGAGAAGCTAATTCAGTCATATGATTCAGCTGTGTGGCATCAGAGAGACATCTAAAAGTTGCAAGTTGTCATCAGCTTAGCCATGAACACTAATGCCCTGTCTCTTGTGGACTTTTGCTAGTGGCAGCATATAGAGACTAAAAAGTCTGCTGTTAAAATTGATCCCTGTGGAAAGTGTATAATGTTTAGATGATGAATTACCCATACATAGAAAGTGTCCCCTATCTGACAGATACGAGTTGAAAGAATGTAAGCAGTTCCAGAGATGCAAAAAAGTCTGAATCTGTCTAGAAGAATAGTGTGGTCAACTGTGTCAAACACTGTGCTTAGATCAAGTAATACCAGTAGAAGAAGTTTAGAAGAAAGTTTGTTATAGGTATTAAAAAAGAAAAAAAATGTTTGACAGCACTCATTGAATTCATTCATTCCTTCCTTCCATCCACTTCCTGTAAAGTGCCCTGAGACAACTTTGTTGTGATTTGGCGCTATATAAATAAACTGAATTGAATTGAATCCATCCATCATCTTTACTCGCTTCTTCCTTTTCAGGTCACGGGGGTCACTGGTGCTCTTCAAATCTTATCAGTGAAGCAGTTGTTGTTGTTTGGAATCAGCCTTCAAGTTTGGGCATGCACATGTTTTTAGGTTTACTTTGTTATTCTAGAGCTTAGTGCCTGTATAGCTCCTTACAAAACAACCAAAGAGCTTGTCAGGACATGTTAAAGCAACAGACAGTAACATACCTCGTTTTTCCAGCAGAGCGTTGATGCTTTGAGAACCGGGCTTAGCAGCAGACACATCCAACGTCCCTGAGTCAATGTCCTCCAGCAGCGATCGTGCCGTGTCAAAGCTATTATTCATTGTTGTAGCTATCACACCTGTGGGGCCTGTTTTCAGCCAGCCACTACAGTACAAGCCTAGAGGGAATGATGAGTCATTAGATCTTTTGATTAAGGTTAAAGGGCTCATATGAAATATTTATAACTGTTACAAACCTGTACCTTGGCCAATGCGGCCATTCCTGTTTGGTACGATGGCTTTGTGGGAGTCAAACGGCACGGTGGGATCGATGGGGAGGCTTTTGTAGCCGATGCTACAGATGACCAGGCCACAGGAAATGTCCTCCACTTCACCAGTGAGTACAGCCTGGGCTCCTTCTCCAGAACCCTGTTTAGTGATCCAGTTTTATTACAAACGACCAGCAGCAACACAAAGTGGCTTCAATATAAACCACTCACCTCCAGCCTGTTGACTGCCAGTCGGATGCCAGTCGTTCTGCTGCAGCCAGGCTCAGCCAGGATTTCCACGGGGCTCCGGAAGAATCGAAAACCCCAGATCCGGGAAGCGTTTTCCCTCCTCTGCTGCTCTTTCTCTCCTGGCGTCTCCAGAGCGGTCTTCAGCATCAACTCTGTCTGACGCTTCCTGGGCCTCGGTAAATCTGACGGAGCAGAGACACTTCAGTGTCAAACTTATTTCTAACTTCAAATTAACTTATATTACAGGGCAACCAATCTCAAACTATAGAAAATAAGAAAAGACTGATAAATCGAAGGTATTACATGAAAAATAAATGCAGAGAGTAAAAAAATAACTTCTAAACAAGAATCCAAAAATAAAAATTTTTCACCAACGTGTCATATTACCTGTACAGATTTCAAACTGTAGTACAAGTACTACTGGTGGTACTCAAGGTTATTCTAGTTCTCAGAGCAAATTTAATATCTAATATTTACAAGTTAAATAACAAGCTAATTAACTACCATAAGCTGAGCTGTGGTGTAAAACAAAGAAGTAGAAATATCCCAAAACATTTTGGTTACAAATGGAAATTACTTGAAATAAAACAAGAGGGAGATTATTTCAAGAACAACTGTGGAAACTAGAGTGTAGATTATTCTTATTTATGCACTCTACATTACAGTTTTTTATATTGCTTAAAAGTATAGTTTGCTCAAGTGATTGAGGTGGACCAAAGATTAATGGTGGCCAAGGCCAACATTGGCCACCCCCTGGCTGCACCACTGCACCTGGTGGTGGATTCACTCACAGGGTCTGTCAAGTGAATAAAGCAAACTACTATAAACTACTTAGGAACAGAAATGGGCACTTTCACACAAAAATATTAACTATAGAAAGTTCTATTTCTTGTAAAGTCCTGAAGCTGCTGTGAGCATGAAGATGACCACACACAGTACAAGACCAGCAGTGCTGACAAAAATGCAGATAAAACCCATCAGCTTTGAACGTCCCCCACAAATAGTGATGGCTCTGAGACTTGTCTGTAAGCGCGGGTCAAGGAAGCGTTTGTTATCACGCTCTGAGCCGAGACGTTTGGTGACATCAATCAACACAAGGCTGCAGACAGGGCCGAAGGCTGCACAGCCTCCACTGCTCTGCCTTGAACGGCTTCACGTCAGCTGCTGTTTGACTGGTGAGCTGTTTCTGTTCTCCTCAGCACACGGGACTAAACGTTTCTGAAGTCTGCTGCAGATGAGACCACATCGTGTTTCCATGCAGCACTTTCAAAGGCTTCATTACACTCTTCATTCTCCAGAACTCTTTTCAACATTTCTTTCATTGTTTCAGTCATGTGACTCGAAGAAAACAAAATATTTACATTTATTAACCTCAAAGCTGAACATTTACCTTTTTTTTTTACTTCAATGGCTTACCTTTAGTGACGTTGTGAAAAAAAAAACTGGATAGATTTTCATTTGTTTCTGACCTTTAAGAGCTTCTGCGACACCTTTAAAGTCTTCTGCCTCCATCTCAGGTCTGGTGCCTGGAAGGTTCACCATCTCTCTGAGCTCCTGTTCACAAAATAAAACACAATATGATTTCCGACATGACAATAGCTGCCTCTCAAAAAATAGGAAGGTTTTGGTTTGTTTTTGTTTAAAAATTTAAATTTTCTTCGCCTATTAATTTTTATACATAAACTTTAATTATCAAAATACAAATTAAAGTTGAGAAATTAGATTTTTGGAAAAAATGCAGCCTGAACAGTATATACAGATAATAGGTCAGAAGAGAATTAGCAAAAATTAGTAATACACAAGCCAATGTGAACTTGATGTATTTATCCACAGAGTTGATGTGGTCAGTAAAATGTTGGACTTCCTGAGATTTAATTTTAACCCAGGTGTCGTCAACATACCTGAACCAATGACTTGGTGGTGTCCCTGAAAAGGACGTCAAGGCTCTCTTTTCTACCTCCTCCATGTACAGGTTGGCAACAATAGGAGAAACTGGAGACCCCATAGCACACCCATGTTTCTGCCTATAATATTGCTCCCCATATGTGAAGTAGGTTGACTGCAGGCACAGTTTCAAGAGTTGACACAGTTGTTCTGTGGAAAGTGTGGTCCTGCTGCTCAGAGTGGTGTCTGATTTTAATTACTGACCACATAACTCTGTGGATAAATACATCAAGTTCAAAAGTGAAGATGTAAAAAATGGCAGGTTGGCTTTCTTGGACTGTGAGGTCTCAGTCTCTGGTAGAGGACATTTGCAAACTGAGGTGTACCGCAAACCCACCCACACAGACCAGTATTTGCAGTTTGACTCCCATCACTCTTTGGAGCACAAGTTAAGAGTCATCAGGACTCTGTATCACAGAGCAGACAGCGTCCCCACTAACTCAGGAGCCAGGCAGAAGGAGAAATCCCACACAAGACAGGCTCTAGAGCAATGTGGATATCCTAACTGGGCCTTCCTGAAAGCAGAGAAGAAACCCAAACAGGACTCCAGTCAGCCATCAGGTGAAAAGGAGGAACACAGACCCAGACCAGTGGTCATTCCATATGTTGAGGGAGTATCAGAGAAACTGAGACGTTTATTTTCTAAACATAACGTCCCAGTGGCTTTTAAACCCCAAAATACATTACGGCAAAGACTGGTTCATCCCAAAGATCCAGTCCCCCGGCACAAACAGAGTAATGTTGTGTATGCTGTTCAGTGTCAGGAGGGCTGTGATCAGTCTTACATCGGGGAAACAAAACAGCCACTGGCCAAAAGGATGGCCCAGCACAGAAGATCAACATCATCAGGCCAGGACTCTGCGGTCTACACTCATCTCCAGGCCAGCGGTCACTCTTTCAGGGATGAAGATGTTCACATCCTGGACAGAGAGGAACGATGGTTTGAGAGAGGAGTAAAGGAGGCCATCTTTGTGAAAAGAAATCGTCCATCATTAAACAGGGGTGGAGGCCTCCGGGTTCAACTGTCCCCCTCTTACAATGCTGTGATTGCTAGTATCACTCAGCCCTCTGTGAATAGTAAACAGCCATCAGTGTGCTAATGATCCATTGTTAGGCTGATGGTCCTTCTT